TTGTCACTTCCAAAAGAGGAAGATGAAGTAGTGGTTTGTGACCTTGAAAGTTCACTCCACTAATATTCTTATCAAAACTGGTTGAACCACTTGAACTTATTGCAACACCATCTTGACTGGAAGACGCACTAGAACCAGCTGCTGTTGAACTCTTACCATTGTTACCTGCTGTAATACCTTTGGCGTCGGCAGAGCCTACAGAAGAAGATATGGATGAACTAGAGGTGCCTTGAGAAGTAGTAGAGCTGGAATCTTCAGAAGCAGCAGAACCATTTCCAGTAGAATCGACTTGGGAGTTGGATGCGGAGGATTGCTTTCCATCAGTTGAAGAGGAGAATCCTGAAGCTTCTCCATTTCCAGAGGAAAAGGAAGAAGAAAATGTATTTGTATCTGCCATTGCAAAACTAACTGCTAATGCTATTACAAGTATAACAGATAAATATAAACAAAGATATCTCTTCATGTTTGTCAAAAAAAATATTGGAGACACAAAAAAGAAGAATAGCAATATACGCTTAAAGTTTCTATTTCATAAAGCTATTTAAAGCATCGATGCTGACGTTTCATTTGATTAGACGTAATCTGGATAATCACAGAATTGTTACTAATTTTGGAAATTCAATGCCGATTGCATCCACTTGGCAGACAAGTAGGCGATGGGTCCCATGACAATTACATGTTTCTAAATGCAGTCACAGCTAAAAGGAGGAAATGCCGAGGTCACCATATTCTCCTATTATTTGCAAAATTTATTGCGATCAGTTGATACTCGAAATATACCTTTTATAGTATCAATAATGAAAGATGGCTATTTAGCAAGAAAAAATTCATACTTCTTATATATTATAGAAACGTTTCTAGTATATCATGACGAAATTTCTATTCAAAAAAAAGTAGTTTATCCATGTTATAAACTTTGGAATGGCTTTTAGTAAGGTTCAAGTTACTTTTGAATGGACGTTGTACAGAACTTCTTTCTCAAATGATATAATGAGAAACGCTTTGGTTATATAAAAAAATCGCAACTTGTGTTTGCATAAAAAACTATTCACATTACAATAATTACTGTTTCTCACACTGGATTCTTTTCTTTGCAATTACTTGTATGAAACAATGTCCATTTGTATAAATAGTATTTAACAACTCTTGCAGATATGTACGGCCATACTAGTGGCACATGCGCCTGAACCCATTTCGAATTCAGAAGCTAAGCGCCCTCAGGCTTGGTTACTACTGAGGTGAGGGATCACTCGGGAACCCCAAGTGCCGTACGTTTTTTTATACTGCTTTTTAGGATTCTATGAAAAGAGAAGCCAAGTGTAAAGAGAAATAGGTGTTTTTAAATTTTTGTTATTATAGAATACAAAAGGAATCAATGTTGGCCAAAGAAACTGATTGTGAAGAAACGACAACAAAACACATACTTGTCGTTGCAAGTGCAAAAACAAGTTGAGTTTAACCAGCATTTTTCTTTCGAGTTTAGAAATCTTGAGGATTCCATAAAGCTTGGTCACAAATTGTGTCCTAACAGTATATTCTCTTTTAATTCTGGTGATAGAGCCTCAAGAAAGAACTAGAATTCAGCAACCAATTCCTTAACGACTTTAAGTGAGCTCCTTGGTCGATTTGAGGACCTTTATTCTTGTTGAGTCACATGTCTCTGCTAATCAAACTCTTGTGTTCACTTTTGACTAGCATAATAATATTAGATGCAGTGAAAGTTCGCATAGGTTGCCTGTCATAACAGTAGCGCAATTCATCGACAAGGTTGTTGTATTGAGTTGAAAGTGGTGCCCGGAACGAAAATTCAAGTATTCCACCGTGCAGAGCAAAGTTGTCTGTCAAAGGTTCTCATTATATCATATCACGTACTACTCGAAGAATCCCTTATAGTCCCGTCTATGGAAGACTTTTTTGTCAAGGCTGTTCTACAATAGCTGAACAAGGATTCAATCACATTGGCTATCACAAATCTTTGAAACTTTTACCACTTACGTCCCCTTGAGGCAGTTTTACTAGATTTTATAGTTGGCCTTGGACTCTTCTGCTTCTCAATTGTCAAGGCCATTTTTGAATACATTTCCCTCTTCAAATTCATCAGAAGAATCGTTGTTTGCTGTGGCTTTCATATTGTGATTCAAAACGCATGACGGTCTCAAGAGTGTTGCTATCTAGAATGCATAGGAAGGTTCGAATAAGGCATTGATCGAGAGAGAATCTTTATTCTTCTATAGTCTTTCTGAACCAACATGTCATTTTTATTCAGTACTGCATTTATTTATTTATAGATAATCTGTCATTTTTTTTTATAAACATAACATGGTCCTCATATATATATATGCTGCAACAATATTCTTCCATCCAAATTCTCAACTTTTCAAACATCATTCACGAGACTATGATGACTTGCTAACTTTGCAACAAAAAATAAAAACCATTGGATACATTCATAAGAATATGCAGATTCTAAAATTTGAAAGAAAAAGTAAACTTGAGAAGATGTCCAAAAAGGAACAGACCACATATACGTCGATTGCACATTACTAGATCATCAAGTATGATGTACTCGGCACTTACTAGAAACAAATAGAAGAAAAATCGACAAATACTAGCAATAAATAGTGAAAAAACTACAGATTCTAGGTATAATAACGACGAAGTAGTTTCTGGATCATTCCTTGCATAGAAACTACAAACAGATCAAGCAAATTGTTAGTCAATGGAATTATGTTCTCAACTTGCTCGTTCAAGTATTCGAAGGATGACCAATTTGCATAACTGACAAGCTTGTGTCTTTACGTGCCAGCCAAACAACAATGAGTTCGAAGATTGAGTGCACACGTCCTCTCTTTTTAGTTAAACTCAACCAGCGTTTTTCAACACAAAAAACATAGTTTTATTCGTCCGTTTTCATGGAAAATATAAAAGCTTACAAACAGAGATAAGCTTTGTTGTTGTAAGCTTCAATTAGAATAAAAGCACAAAGAACTCCCTCTCTCTCTCCCCTCTACCACCTTCCACTCTATGTTCTAAAAAGAATTGTCCCTCAATAACACAAATTTGAAAGCAGCTGATTATTCTTTCATTTCTGTGTTTTCTTTCAATAATACTGCAGCTCTTAGAATTTTTTGAATGTATTGCTCTGGTATACCCATCAACTCTAGTGACTTTTTTCGAATCACTTGAGGATTATCTCCAAATATACGAGGAAATGTCAAAGCATAACGAGTGGCAACTTCTTCCGGTAGTAACGCAGACTTGCAAAGAAACTCTTTCCAGTCAAAATGTGTATTTATACCACTCGATACTTGTTCTCTTCTTGTTTTATCTTTTTCCAGTTGTATAGAACTTTGAAAACCTTCCATTTGCATCCTATTCTCCTCATTTATTCTCCATCCCATATGTTGAGCCACTCTTGAAATAACATTTGATTGCTCAGCTTCCAAAGATGAAACATATTCATTGGACATCGACTCAAAGACAGTTTTACACCATACTGAAAAGTCTTTACTGAACTCTTCTCGGCTTGCTTTCCCAATTTTCCTCAAAATATCGACATTATCTATTCCCAAAAACCGTTCAAGGTTCCTTTGGGAAACAATTACCAACTGCAGGCATGATCGACTACTTTCATTCAAAGTTGACCTCGAAGAATGTTCAGTAACCAAATAACTTGCATCTTCAACAATATTATGTTCTTCAACAGAGAAACCTACAGATCGACCATAACTAGCACAAACTACCACAAACTGAAAACAAAGTTGAACAGATGAAGGAGATCCGTTATTCAAAACGGAAATAACTTCCTGGAAAAATTGTTCTGCTTCCTTCTCAATATCTCTCTTCGAAAATTCACTTTTGTGATAAAATTTGAATGAAAATCCAACAACATAACGTGTTTGTCCATTATGGAATACAACATATGCATCAGGACCACTCGAATTGCCATCTTTTGGAACAAAAATACCACAATGTTGTAAAAATTTTCCATAATGGTCAGAAAATGAATCAGAGACATCTCTCAAGATGGGTATATCATTAGATTTTGTTGATTCCACAGAATAAGAAACATTGTCCTGCTCAATAAAAGAACCCTGGAAAATTCCTGGAATAGCAGAATGTACAATAGGCGAGGAATTAGAATGAAGAAAAGTTAATAAGCGAAAACGAAAGATCTTCATAAATACAAAGTCAAAGAAGACTCCTTTTGCTGTTGAAGTGTCGGAAATATAACTAAACGGAGATAAAGGAAAGAGTTCAGTAGCCTCACGGAAAAAGCTATAGTTGCTATGAGCTCTCAATATAAATTCACAACAACCAATCTTGAATTCGATGCCCATATCAATCCCGTCAGTTCCACAACTTTCAGAATAAAACCCAAAAGTTGCAAGCAAGTCCATCAAATAAGTTTTCGTTCCACATAGAGTAATTACAAAGTCAATTGGAAAAATTGTTCCGAGCTGATAATTCAAAAGGACAAATTGATATCGAAGAAGGGTTGCGGAATCTAGTATCTCCGGAACAATAAACGTTACCGACTCGAGTAGTACCAAGTGAAAGATTCTATCTAATAAGGGTTCCATATTTTCATCGTTGATAACAGGTTGAGATAAGTTTGCAACTTTCTCTACTAGGGCTAATAAAGTATTCCTTACAATCAACGGAATACCTCCTGTCTTCTTTTTCAACAATTCTACGAATCGATGTCGTAAATCATCGGAGAGCAATAAACAGTCCTTCAAGGACTTTCCATCATAACTTGCCAGCTCAAGATATTTGTTAATATCACGGAGGTTAAAGGGATTCAACCGCAACATATGGAGGGTGACACTACTGGAGCGAGTATCAGACAGGGGGGCTGAGATTTCAGCAGTTCGCCCAACAATATACAGGATAACTTTTCCTGTATCAAGCAACTCACCTACAGTTCGAAAAAATTTGCGATACGGGATATAACCTGGATCGGACTCGACGAACTGTTCCTCGCCGAGTTCACTATAGTATTCAGTGAGATAACTCAACTGGCTAAGTTCGTCTATCATCAAAAATAAATATCGTTTCTGAAATTGTTCGAGAAGATAATCAACAAACAAAAAAACACCAAAATGCTTCACCGCTCCGTCCGAGAAATCTACAAGAGCGCCCGCAGCCATACCATTACACTCGGAAGCAGCCAAAACTATATTATACATCAAAGCCTCTAGAAACCTTGGAAAAGGAGCACGAGAAAAGCTCTCTTCTAATTGAAAGCAAACTGACAAAGTGTTTTCCGCAAAGTGTTTCCAAGAAAAAATCTTCAAATCAACTTTTCCCGACGAGCTCTTGTTGAAAACCTCCGTCTCCGTCTGCTCTTCTTCTTCGTCGGCGAATTTTTTTAAAAACTCTAAAAAATTTTCACCAACAAAACTCTTGCCAGCCCCAAAGACCTGAGGAGAAAAGCAAGCTCCAGGACGTAAAAGATCCAATTTTCCCCCAACTGAAGAAAACTGGTCGAAATAAG